TTTGACTATACTCTGCACAGTGAGAAAACCTGAAATCAATTTCAAGGTTGACCATTTCTTACTTCTTTCAGTCAGGTCAGGTTTCTAAGCTTTCTAAATATCTGTTTTCCAGCTAATGAAAAAAAAAATGTATATATATATATATATATATATATATATATATATATATATATATATATATATATATTTTATATATATATATGATTCCATGAGTCTCCTATCTACCTACCCCAGGACTTCTGTGAGGATCAAATGAGATGAGGCACAGGAAAAGGCTTCACAGATATCTGGTTACAGTGTGAAATGTTTCCACATGGCTATAAAGCAAGTCTTATTCCTGGACTGAAGAAAATCTAAGGCTAGTAACTAGGGAGATGAAGCTGGGCATTGCTATGTGACATTACCCAGACAGACACTTAGCATATTAGCCTTTCATATATATGTTGTCCCAATACAATTAATATTTTTAAAATATTAAATAAATAAAAGATAATTTATAGCAAGGTAAACTAAGATCCTTCCCTTTTTTTCAAGAATAATTTTTCAGTCACTTATATAAGTTCAGCTTCATTTAAAAAGAGTTAATATTAACAAGCTGGAAGTTAAATTAGACTCTGAAAGTTCCAACTATTTACCTCCTTAAAGTTTACTTGAAAAAGGGAATGTAAAAAAGTTTATGAAGCAAAGTAAATCCACATAGAATATATTCCCCAGTAGAAATATCATCACTCATACTTCATTCACTAGGCATAGTTTTCTTTTAAAAAATGGTATTTCAAAAATTTAGCTATACATATTCTCCATAAACAAATTTTAAATAAACTGAGTTATATTAAAATTATAGGTAAAAGAAAGAAAAGGGAAAATTCTAATGCCTAAGTATATTAAGTTTCCAACTTAAAATTTGATTGGGGTCCAACTTGGCCTTCTCTTATTTAAAAACACTGATTTAACACTGATTTAAAAAATAATAACATTTAGAAAACACTGCAATTAATCCTTATGAAAGATAAAACAGCAACATTTTATTTTTAGCTGCATTTAAAAAAATAATTATTTTCTAAAAAATAATTATTTATTGTTGAAAGTATTATATATTTCTCATCCCCACCCCCCTCATTTCCTACCAGCCCACCTAATTCTAACCAGAGGCAATATTTCCTTCAGCTTCAAACAAGGGCTGCTAACGAAGGAAACCTGGGACAACACTCCATGAGTCTTTCAGAGGTCAAGAGTGTCCCAGGCCACTTCCATTAGCTGAATCTCCCAGGATACTTTAAATATATATATTGATTTTAGAGACTGAAAGGGAGAGGGAGAGAGAGGTAGAAACATCAACAATGAGAAAAAATCATTGATGGCTGGCTGCCTCCAAAACGCCCCACTACCACTGAGGATAGAACCTGCGACCCGGGCATGGAACCGAACCATGATCTCCTGGGTTCATGGATCGATGCTCAACCACTGATCCACATTGGCCGGGGTCCCAGGATACTTTATAATAAAAATAAATGCTAAAATCACAAAAATTGTATAATATTGTAAATGTTTACATTAAACAAATTAATGCTTAACACACACACACACACACACACAACACACACACACACACACACACACACACACACACACACACACACACGCCAAAGCAATATAATTGAACTGTTTCTGAAAGACATCATCTGAGGTCTAAATAGAAGGCTCATGTAAATTTGGGGCCCCAGTTGAAAACCTGGATATCCATTTTCCCTTGAAGAACCACCTGGCCCAATTATCACTCTTCTTATCTAGCTCTCAACAAGCTACTGATGAATTTGAGCAGACAACAAAGGGTATTTGATTCCCACAGGCTGTCAGCCCCATACCTAGGTCTGGATGGTGTGAGATAACCCCACACCCCACTCCTTCCCAATTAGATGCTCAATACAAATAACTAGATGGTAGCTATTAATGTCATTCTTTTAAAATAAGGTGACCAGCCAAAACCGGTCTGGCTCAGTGTGGTAGAGTGTTGGTCTGTGGACTGAAAGGTCCCAGGTTCGATTCCGGTAAAGGGCATGTACCTTGGTTGGGGGCACATCCCCAGTAGGGGGTATGCAAGAGGCAGCTGGTCAATGTTTCTCTCTCATCGACGTTTACAGCTCTCTATTCCTCTCCCTTCCTCTCTGTAAAAAGTCAATAAAATATATTAAATAAAATAATAATAAAATAAGGTGACCTGACATCGCGCTTTTGGCGGGACAGTCCTGATTTTTAACAATTTGTCCCTCGTCCCACGGCGTTTTTAAAGTCTCGGTTTTTGGAAAGAATGCACGACAAACAGGGAACGGCGGGAGAACGGGAAGGGAATATACGGTTTTCGGCAACTATGTGGCTATTTAGCCAGGATATGAGTTTTATATTATTTTTGTTAATTTATAATGTTAAAGTTTATTAATAACAAATAATTGTTGAGAACTGATTACCGAGAACTGCTTATCAAAGTTTGTATTGTTGATCAGTGGTTAGAATTCAACCACCATTGTTTGGACTTAATGAACAATGACATTTTGGGGGATTGGCAATGGCGAAAACATTTTGTAACTGTCTCTCAGATGATACACATCTTACTGCGTGCTAGTAAGCTAGTTAAACAAGTGATATCATTACAAATCAGCTATTCAGATAATTTAGGTAAGTAATTTATTTATTTATTTATTTCATAAATACATAAATTTTCTTGAATTTAGCAGACAGTAATCGTATTATTTATATTTTATAGTGGCAGCAAAAAGTCTAATGCCGGCCTTGAAAGTGACACTTACGAGTATACATAATTTTTTTAATTATATTTGTAAATTGTACTTATGTTGAAATTTTTAAAAATATGTTACAATACTATTTTTTGCATTCTATGAATATTTTTGTTACTACATACAGACTAAGGTGGACCAGATGTCCCGCTTTTGGCAGGACAGTCCCAATTTTTAATCAAGACCAAATTTTTAATCAAGAACCCTCCTCTCCTCTCCCTCTCCCAGGTCAATGGTGTCCCGCTTTACCAATGTTAAAATCTGGTCACCTCACTATATGCAGACATTTTGAAAGGAATTTTGGGGGGTGAAATAGGCAGGTTTAGGAAATTTTAGGAATTAAGGGGTCCATGGAAAAAGCACTGGGCTACAGAGCTACATTACCACAAGACAAGGGAGCTGGGAGTGGCAGAAGTTACATTTATATACGATAAGGGACTGGAAGTAACAAAAGGTACATATTTTTACAAAATAAATGAAGAAAGCCCAGAGGGAATGGGAGAACAATAAGGGAGAAGGAGGAGGAAACCTCCGTACTTCATGTGAGGCTTGAGCTCTGGAGTTGCTATAGTGACCAAATCAAAGGGGAATTATGATCAATCAGAGGGGATATCAAGGTAAAAACATCTGCAGCCTTTATAAACCACAGGAAATAGGGACTCAGTGGGACTCTCCCCAGTCCCCACGTGGGAGTCTGTGCTTGTTTCTCAATAAATTTCCACCTTTTACTATACCACATTTCATCCATGGTTTCATTCTTTGACTTCACTGATCAAGAGCCCGGGAAGCCATACTGCCCAGGAAATACCACAATTCCAATACAAATTTCTCATTTCAATTTCATTAAGGGATCACAAAGAATTATTAACAACAGTTACATCTCTAAAAGCCGCACTGAGAAGATCAAATGATGGGGAGAAAGACTTTAATTTGTTTTATTTTTTACCTAGAACATATATTACTTTCATGATTTTAAAATTAAGTATTTTTTCAAACCACATTATTTCTTAGTGCTTTTCTAAAAAAATTGAGGTATAATTAACATGTAACATTAATTTCAGATGTATAATATGATTCAGTATTTGTAGTCACTGTGAAATGATCACCACAAAAAGTTTAGTTAACATAAATTACCACATACAGTAACAGAAAAGTTTTTTTCTTGTGATAAAAACTTTTAAGATCAACTCTCAGCAATTTTGAAATATGCAATACAATATTATGAATTACAGACACCACGCTATATATATATATTACATTCCCATTACTTAATTATTTTATAACTGAAAGCCTGCACCCTTAGATTCCTTTCGGAATGCTTTGAAAGAAATATTTATCTAGATTTTTTAATTGGGTACATTTATATTTCAAATATATTAGTGGGTCTATACATAAAAATCACACAAATTTCAGAATAGTTGTAAAATTCTCTTCCAAAAAAGTTCAAAATTATTTTTTCTATTATAAAATATCTGGCACACTAGAAGTCAGTAGCAAAGTGAAAGCCAACAGTCTAGAGTGGAAATAACACAGCTTGACTGCAAGCTAAAACTCGAGTTGTATAACATGTTTTGCAAAGCTAAAGTGTTTCAAATTAACCAATTCAGAAACAAAATAGGAAAGTAACAATAAAGAAGGTAAAAATTAAGGTAAAAAAATAAATTCTTCCTTTCCCTGACACATGCAGACTATATGTTTTTTTAAATTTATGTTTATCTTTGAAAGTTTTACAAGATGTCCTTCTTTTCCCCATTGATCACCTTCCCCTTGCTCCCCCGCCACCCCTCCTCTCATACACTATTGGTATATGTTAATTATAGTAGTATGTTTTCTATTCAAAATCATAGTAGTATTAATCACACAGATGGAGTTGCAAACATTCCAAATCCATAAATATACTAATTCATGTCATTACAGTTCCAATACAGAAGCAGCAGAAGAATGTCAACACTTTGGCAATTTACAAGGCACTTTCCAGAAATAATAGCATGCAAACTACTACTAAAGATACTAATACTGTTTACTTAAAAATTTTAAAAACTGAATATGCAGAACAGTTCTAACAATTTATCTATTGCAACAACAGTTTTAATTACAAACCACAAATATATAAACAGAGGAAGGTGAAATTTTGACAACATTTAGGTATAACTCAGAGGTATGTATACATGATGTGTGAGAGATGAACTCAGAACCCCTGCAGCTTACCTTCTTCTGAAGAACATTAACCTTCCGCTCCTTCACATCTAGCATGTCCTTGAGGTCATGTATCTCTCCAGCTTGTGTTCCTTTCTCCTCAGCCATATCCTGAATTTGTTTTGTTTTCTTATTCAGCATGGTTTCCTTCTCTTCCAAACGCAATCGGAGAGCATCCACCTAAGAATGTATGACTTTTCATTAGAGTCAAATAAAATACCACTCTAAATATAATTATTAAACTTAGAAACTAATTCTGGAATGGTGTGAGTACTTTCATGAGGAAAATAAAATTTACATCAGTTAAATTGCCATCAGATAATAGAAGAATAAATGGATCTGAATCAAGGAGACAAAGTGGAGAATTGTTATAAAGAGGTTGAGTATTGCTACTTCTATAAAAGTAGCATAATCTAGAACTATGTTTATCCAACTTTATGTGCATTACAATCAAACTGCCAATCCTAGCCATCAATTTCTGATTCAGTAGCATTGGGGTTTAAGAATTAGTATTTCTAATTTCTAAGTTCCCAAGTGATGCTACACTGCTTTAGAAAATCTAATATTAGAAATACACCACAAGCATCACCACGCATGCCACCTGCTGAATCAGATAACAAAATCTAGGTATTAGACACAATGCTTTTAGGACAAGCCCAATAATGCACTTAGAGAGCTGTACAACACAAAGCAACACAATACTTTCAGATCCCAAGATGGTTTTCTGAAGTCTGGTATCCAGTTCCCTTTATCCCTGAAGTTTAACAGCTTTTGTTAAATACAACAGTAAAATTACTAGAAATCTGGTAATTATTTTTAAATTATGGTACTTATTTTTAAATCTATCCATAGAAAATTTCATTAAGCATACTCATACACTAAATTTTTTTATTTTTTGCTTTCCACTAAGGATTTATAATTCAGCAAATAATTATACATGTATTTGATTATAGTTTAAAAAAAAAGACGTAGATTTCTTTCATATTAAGATAGTAATATTCAACAGGAATATGAGTTATATATGAAAGCCACATGAAATTTTTAATTTTCTAACAGCTACATTGAAAAGGAAAACGGAAACAAAAAGTTAATTTTAATAACATACTTTATTTAATCTAATATATCTATAGTTATTATTTCAAACATGTAATCCATATAAAAAAAAAACTTACAAGCTATTTTACATTCTTTGTTTCATGCTAAATCTTCCAAGTCCAATGCATATTGTAATTTACATTTATATCACATCTCAGTTTGGACATATTTCAAGTGATCAATAAACACATGTGACTATCACCCTGACAGTGCAAATCTAAGATATCAAGTATGTTTCTATAAATCACCTTTTATCTTGAATTTGTCCTATATTATTTTTTGTATATGAGTGTGGATTAACCCACAAAGAAAAAACAAATAATATGGGTAATAACTTACATTTATAGTACAGCAAAACTCTCAGAAAAGATCTAATATAACTAAACTATAAGATATGAGAGAACCAATTCTGTGTATATGGTGGTACTGATTACTCAGTATTACAGAAAATTTCCACCAAGCCAGTGTGACTGAGTGGTTGAGCATCAATCTATGAACTAGGAGTTACTGGTTTGAATTCTGGTCAGGGCACATGCCAGGGTTGCAAGCTCAATCCCCAATAGGGGACACACAGGAGGCAGCTGATCAAGGATTCCCTTTCATCCTTGATGTTTTTATCTCCTCTCTCCCTGTCCCTTCCTCTCTGAAATCAATAAAAATACATATTCTTAAAACATTTAAAAAAAAAAAAAAAGATAATTTCCTAGGTCCGTGGTCAGCAAACTGTGGCTCAAGAGCCACATGAGGCTCTTTGGCTCCTTGAGTGTGGCTCTTCCACAAAATACCACGGCCTGGGCGAGTCTATTTTGAAGAAACGGCATTAGAAGAAGTTTAAGTTTAAAAAATTTGGCTCTCAAAAGAAATTTCAATCGTTGTACTGTTGACATTTGGCTCTGTTGACTAATGAGTTTGCCGACCACTGTCCTAGGTGACTAGTCTCATTTGAAACTGCTATAGTTAAGTCATTATGTACTTACAAATTATATCAAACTATACTGGAAAGCAAAGTATGTAAATTAACCAGCTTTCACTATGCTAAACTATATTTCTCCCAACCACTTAAACATCACCGAGCCAGAAATTGGGAAAGCACCAATTTATGTCCCATTTATAATCCTTTTCAAGCTCTACTGACAAACACTCATTAACCTCCAATTTTCTTTTATTCTACTTTAATAAATAATATATGGTTAACTAGATTATACTCTGGAAAAGATCCACCTAAGAACTTTCATATTGTAAAAATAGCAGATCTAAAATAAGTCAAACCCAGTGAATCCAAGAAATGTTAGATTAAAAGTTTCTAGTGTGGGTGTCTAAAGTCAACACTAAAAATCTCACAGCAAGAATTAAAATCCAGAGATCCAAGATGGCTGCTGGGGTAGACATCTAGCCACGGCAGCACACAACAATTTCAATGGAATACAATTAAGATGTAGAGTGGACATTGCCCAGAGCTACAGGTAGTCGACTGACTGAAAATTCTACAACAAGAAGGAAAGAGAAAACCAGAAGGAAAATCAGAGGAGCTGAAAAAAAAAGCCTAAGGTACAGAGACATGCTGCACGCAGAGAAGGTCTCAGCCGGAGAGGAGGAGAGGGCGGGGTGCTACCTTTCCTTTCCTAGCAGGAAGGAAATAAAACCCCAGCCTGGGCTGAACCCCCGAACCGGCAGCGCTGAGCCCCCGAACCTGCAGCGCTGAGCCCCAGTTATGGGCCAGACCCTGGGGACCCAGGCTCCGGCAGGAGGAGACGGGGCTGTGAGGCGGAAAAGCTGCGAAAAGCAGGGCCCCCGGAGTCGCGTGCAATGCATGCGCAGAGGACTGAATGTTCACTCTGATGCTGGGTTACCCTAGCCGGAAGAAACAAGGCCTCCGGCGGTGCTGAGCCTCAGTCCAGACTGCTCCGAACACCAGTTCTGGGCCAATCCCTGGGGACACAGACTCAGGCAGAGGGAGACGGGGCTGTGAGGTGGAGTCCGGGGAGAGCTGCGAAAGGCCGGGCCCCCGGACTTGCGCACACTGCGCGCAGAGGACAGTCTGTTGACTCTGATGCTGGATTCCCCTAGCGGGAAGGAGAAGAAGCTCCGGGCTGGGGGAATGCGGCGGGGAGCAGGAGCCCCTGCCGGACGCCGGACGCCGACCAACCGGGAACCAGCAAGGAGCCGGGCAACGGGGCCCCTGGGTGGAGGGGTGCCCCTGAACCTTCCACCACTGAGCGCTGGCAATGGAGCCAAGGCCAGGAGCTGCTTCCTGGGCGGCGCCGTCCCCGGCAACAGGCTGAAGCAGCGCAGGAGCCCACGGAGAACAAAGGGGGGGCCACAGGCCAACCTGCTGAGCTCCTAGGACAAGGAGGAAGAAACCAAAGAAGTTCTCAATGTGAAGAAATCAAGTGAGAGCAAAAGATAGTAAAATTACTTAAGAAAGAATATAAAGAAGTTCTTGAAAAATCAAAGACTAAGTCAGAACTCAACTCAACAGCCAACATTGCAACATAAACGCGTTTAAAAAAAGAAAAAGAAAAAAAAAGGACAGAATGTTGGAACAGCGGCGGCCAGGCCTAGAGTGGCCAGGCACAAGGCAGTGGCAGCCAGGGCCGGAGCAGCAATGGCCAGGCCCCAGAGCAACAGCAGCCAGAACCAGAGCATCAACAGCCAGCACTGGAGCAGCCAGACCTGGGGCAGTGGCAGCCAGGCCTGAGGCGGAGGCGGCCAAGCCCAGGGTGGCAAGTCCAGGAACAACCAGACCTGGAGTGGCCGGGCCCGGAGAAGCCAGGCCCAGAGCAGCCGGGGTGGGAGCAGCCAGACCCAGAACAGCAGTAGCCAAGCCCAGAGCATCCAGGCTGGGAGTGCCCAGGCTCGGAGCGGCCGGGCCCGGGGCAGCCGGGTCGGGTGCAGCCAGGCCCGGAGCAGCGGCTGCCAGGCTGGGAGCGGCCAGGCCCGAGGGAGCAGCCGGGTCGGGTGCGGCCAGGCCCGGAGCAGCGGCTGCCAGGCTGGGAGCGGCCAGGCCCGGAGCAGCAGCAGCCAAGTCCACAGCAACTAGGTCGGGAGCGGCAGTGACCAGACCCGGAGCAGCTGGTTGTGGAACGAACCAGAGCAACAGAGGCCAGGCCCTGAGCAGCCAGGCCCGGAACAGCTCGCTCCTCGCCTGCCCCTGCCCCACAGCTGCCTCTCAGACATGGCTGGAAACTTTCGTGGGAACTTGAGTGTCTGCTGAATCAAGTGATGAAGGCTTAGATCTGGATGTGTTGAGTTAATATAGGGCTGGGGTGTTGATCTGTGAGTGCCTTGGGTGGGGCCTGGTTGAGGCTGGAGGACCTATTGGGAAGTCTTTTGTGTGAAGTGTATCATTGGGCATGTGGAGGTATTATTGATATGAGAAAATGCTAAGTAACTGATTTACTATCTGAAAAGGGATTTACTATTGGGGAAAGGGAGGGAAGAAGAGACTGAACATAAACTGTGCACCTATGGATGAGGACAATGGGGGATGGGGAGGGGGCGAAGGGTGGGGTGGGAACCTGGTGGAGGGGGGAAGAAATGAGGAACCTTTGTAATAATATGAACAATAAAGATTGATTTAAAAAAAAAAAAAGAATTAAAATCCAAAGCAAAGCAAAGATGAATTACATGATTCCCACTAAATTCTCTAATGGTCTTTTCTGAAGTGCAAGATAACAAAAGTCTTTAAGTTTCCCTTGGTTGCTTTTCATGCAATGCAGAGTTTAAATGTGCTGGTCCAGAGGTCTGAGATAAGACAACCACGAAAACACTCTGCTACTACTAGATTAATTGCTCTGAATTCTAAACTGATCTTTAAGTTTGGAGTAAACTAAAATCCATAGTATATTTTGTATGAGGTCCATATTTTGCAAACCACAAAAAAAAATCATATTCAGAAAAGCACATCAGAGACTAGCAGGACACATAGTCATCACCCTAACACCATTCCTAGCAGGAGGAACAGACCTTGTTCATTCACATCAACTGAGCTGGAGGAGCAGTGTCCACCCACCTTAACAAACATCAAGGTCTGGCAAATAGGTTATGCCAAATTCAACACAAACAGAAGGTTTTTCTCTACAAGT